TTTTTTTCCATTTATTTTTATTAGTTGGAGGCTAATTACTTTACAATATTGTAGTGGTTTTTGCCATACATTGACATGAATCAGCCATGGATTTACATGTATTCCCCATACCGATCCCTCCTGTGATCTTTTTTTAGATGCTATCTTATTCTCACAGTTTATTTGTGAGAGTCCTGAAGGGGAGGCTGGGGAAGAGATCTGTCATCTGTTAGTTACATATTATTCATTTCTATTTCTTTGATCTAAGGAAAGAACCAACAGATTAGGCAAAGTATTCTGTGATAAAAAATTTGAAAGGTGTTTTAGGGCCAGAGTTTAGTTAAAATATAGCTTTGCTAAAGTGACAAGACAAAAGGACCTCCTGCAGACAGATAATTCCTGCAAAGAGCCCTTTCCTAAAAAAAAAAAAAAAAAAGCCGCTCACAGCTTTGGATGGCTGGTTGTCCTGGTCTCAGCTGAGATCTCTCAGTGGGATTTGAGGACTGAGTAGCTATGGAGGGTAACTTCAGGAAGAAGACCCATTTAGCTATGAATATTTGAACATGATTAACTAGGGAGGTAGATGTTAGTAGTTAGTAAGTTTGCAGTCGGAAAAATTAGGGCGTGGGGAGCACAGTTTAGAACATTTATTTTGGATAGTCTTGATCTTGTGCTTTTATTTTCCTAATATCAGAAATTGTTAAAAATACAGAACTTGATAATGCTACTACCCCAGACTAATGTTAATGTATTTTCTTAATGTGCAACAGCGAATTATCAAAGGTCTACCTGAAAGTGAAGGAATCATCTTTCTGCCCCACCTTAATATTTGTTTCACTTTTATCACTTGGTGTTCCTTTTAAAATTTTTCAGTAATTTTTCTGTTTTTCTTTAGCTGTCATCTTTGATATCATCTGTTGGTGAGAACATCCAAGGATCATAGTATTTTAGACCTGAAAGGGACCTTGAAACCATTTAGTCAACTATCACTGATGTAGGAAGGAAATGAAACCCCTGTAGATTTGTACCAACTACTTTGCCAACAAAGGTCCGTCTGGTCAAGGCTATGGTTTTCCAGTGGTCATGTATGGATGTGAGAGTTGGACTGTGAAGAAGGCTGAGTGCCGAAAAATTGATGCTTTTGAACTGTGGTGTTGGAGAAGACTCTTGAGTGTCCGTTGGACTGCAAGGAGATCCAGCCAATCCATCCTGAAGGAGATCAGTCCTGAGTGTTCATTGGAAGGACTGATGCTGAAGCTGAAACTCCAATACTTTGGCCACCTCATGCGAAGAGTTGACTCATTGGAAAAGACCCTGATGCTGGGAGGGATTGGGGGCAGGAGGAGAAGGGGCCGACAGAGGATGAGATGGCTGGATGGCATCACTGACTCGATGGGCATGAGTTTGAGTAAACTCCGGGATTTGGTGATGGACAGGGAGGCCTGGCATGCTGCGATTCATGGGGTCACAAAGAGTCGGACACGACTGAGTGACTGAACTGAATTGAATGTGAGAGATTAGCTGGAAGCACAGGGATAGAATCCTGGACTCTTGCTTCTATTTTAGTGGTTTCCTCAGTGGTTCAGTTTTGTTGTTGCCATGTTCTCTGGCTTTGCAGGGAAAATAGTGGAGAATTTAAGTGAAGTTGAAAATTATCAATGATGACATTTGCATAGTTCTTTGTGTTTGTAAGGTACACTCAGCTATATTAGCCTGTGATTGAAATGAGTAGCTGAGGTAATCTGATATTATGGTTAAGTATTAGTTCTAATTTTTCAGTATCTTCCTCTATTGAAAAGGAGTTATAATGTTCTTCCTCAAGGAATTGTTGAAATTACAAAGAAATTGTAAAGGGATTAGTATATTTATTTCACTTATATTTGTGTCTGACATATTTTTTACTATTTTTACTATTGCTACTATTTGTTGTTGTTTGGTTCTAATTCACAGGTGTTGTGGACTAAGGAGGAAAAATTCTACTCCAATTTTTATAGTAGGAAGGAGAGGGAAAGGAGTTGCAGAAAATTCAGCTCTCTGTATGAACTTAGGAATCTCAGCCTCTGACCTAGTGTTTACCAAAAAAGAGGACCATGTCATTTTGGCTCATTTTCTCGTTTAGTTTTGGTCAACAGCTGGAAACGGAGATCTTGAAAGGTCATTTTTTTTCAACTACTGTTCTCGGTATCATCCTAGGCTTTGTTACATTTTAAGAGTAAATTATTTGGTACTTTTTTACAGAAATAAGAGTTTTTCATGGAGGAAGAATTTCCAAACAAAGGGCTCTTTTAAATATATCTCACTGAACTAGCCATCATATTGAGCTTTCAGTGAAACAAAATACCAATTACCTAAGTTTGACTTCTAAAACCCTATGATTTGTTTTATAGAGAGGAAACCGCTACTAATTTTTCCACTGTGTTAAAATAAACAAGCAACAGGGGCAATCTGAGAAGTGTAGTTTCTAAAAACAGGCCAATCCAAGAAGGGCTTTTTATCCAGATGTGTTGCCACTCCAGCCCTTTTCCTTCCCACACTGCCATTCCCTTTGTCTTCCTGCTGCCAATTATCCACATCCCTTCAAGGAATAGTGGAAATGTCCATGGTTGGTCTTTGTTGAATTGGTCCGAAAATGATAGTGATGGTAAAGGCAAAACTAAGGAAAGGCCCAGAGCAGTGTTTTAACCGTTTTGGAATCACAGACCTGAGCTGACACTGAAGGTCAAAGCCAAGGACTTTGCTTCAGAGAAATGCACAGATGCAAACATACATGAAATCTCGTGTATAGTTTCAGGAGGTGATGGACTCTCTCAAGCCCATTTTAGGGTGGAAGAGATCACCAATGTCATGAAAGCTGACAGTATCCCTGACCTTCCTCCTCGCCGGCTCTCTCTTGAGGGCTAAGGGAGAACAAAGGATTCAAACGTCATGCTTGGGGGTGCATCCAGTCCAGAGCTTGCTAAAAGGTGACTGTGAATTGCTTTTTGGAAAAAGAAAGGGAAAGCAGAAAGGAAGGGATCTGCCTTGGAGTGATACTGTTTTCTCCTTACAGAGCCACTTGAACACATTTAGCTGTTACAAAATGGGAAGCACATGTATTTAGTAAGGAGTTCAAGTTAGACATTTTTGTGTGAGATACTGACCAACCTAGATAGCATATTAAAAAGCAGAGACATTACTTTGCCAACAAAGGTCCGTCTAGTCAAGGCTGGTTTTTCCAGTGGTCATGTATGGATGTGAGAGTTGGACTGTGAAGAAAGCTGAGCGCTGAAGAATTGATGCTTTTGTTTTGTTTTGTTTTTTGAATTTTGTTTTGAATTGATGCTTTTGAACTGTGGTGTTGGAGAAGACTCTTGAGAGTCCCTTGGACTGCAAGGAGATCCAACCAGTCCATCCTGAAGGAGATCAGTCCTGGGTGTTCATTGGAAGGACTGATGCTGAAACTAAAACTCCAGTACTTTGGACACCTCATGCGAAGAGTTGACTCATTGGAAAAGACCCTGATGCTGGGAGGGATTGGGGGCAGGAGGAGAAGGGGCCGACAGAGGATGAGATGGCTGGATGGCATCACTGACTCGATGGACATGAGTTTGAGTAAACTCTGGGAGTTGGTGATGGACAGGAAGGCCTGGCGTGCTACGATTCATGGGGTCTCAAAGAGTTGGACATGACTGAGCAACTGAACTGACTGACTGACTGAACCCACTCAGGTCTCACAAACGAAGCTTTCTTTTTGTAGAACATCCTTACTGTGTGAAGATAACACATTCATATACAGATTTTAAAAAGTTCTTGAGGAGGATACCTTTGAGGAAAAATTAGACTAAAAGAAGTAAAAGCAAAAAGTAAAAAAGGGCCAGAGAAATAAAGATGAGGTGGGGAAATGTTTGCTGGATTATGCGGTTTGATTTTTTCCCTACAGTTTGTATTTTAAAATGCAGAAATTTGTCTGTAGGTGAAAAGGACTTTAAGTTTTTCTGTGGAAGTTTGTTGACAGCTTCCTCTTCCTTCCCTGTGATCATCTTTATTAAAACCAGCCAATCACATGTCTTCTGTGTGGACATTTAGTGCTTCCACTTTGTACAAGTGGCAGATGCAGGCTCCATACAAGTTGCTGCCCCAAAGAAGTGGCATTCTCATTACCTGGTTTGCTTCTAAGGGTCATAGGCACATGAAGTAATTTTCCATTGCATATTCATGAGGTCTGATCTGACCGCTGATGTTCATAACTTTGTTTTTCTCTTGTTGTTGTTCAGTCACTCGGTCCTGTCTGACTCTTTTGCAACCCCATGGACTGTAGCCTGACAGGCTTCTCTGTCCATGGGATTTCCAGGCAAGAATACTGGAGTGGGTTGCCATGCCCTCCTCCAGCAGATCTTCCTGAGCCAGGGATTGAACCTGCATCTCCTGCATTGCCAGGCGGATTCTTGACTACTGAGCCACTGGGAAAGCCCAATAACTTTGTTACTTTGGATAAGTTACTTAATCTCTTACAACCTTAGCATCTTTTTTTAGAGGTAAAACATTTGTGAGATGTTTTGTGGGTGAAAGACACTGTCCCTCTCAAGTTACATTCAATAGGCAAATGAACTCTTGTTTTGTTTAGGATCATCCCTGTGACTAGGGTCATCATATATTAATAGTTGCCAGAATGCTTCTGTTACTTGGGGTTAGATAGGATAGTAATATTTATAGCTAACTGTACTAGGTTGTATTCCCTGTATTATTGTACAGCTTATTATTCTTCACAACTTTCCTGTGAAGTAGACACTACTCTTATCCCCTCTTTTATAAATGAAAAAAACAGATGTGCAAAGGGATTAAAAAAAAAAACTTGTCCAAAATCTTCCAGACAGAAACAGAGCTGGGGATTGAAACCTGCGTGGTCTCTTCCAGAAACCATTCTCTTAGCAGCTATCTTTTCCAACTTTCTTTTGAGCTAGAACCTATTCACATTGAAAAGAAAATGTTACATATAGTGAACTCTGACACTTATTTAATATGCTTTTTCTTCTCTGTTTCAGGTATCTGACAGCAAGCGGCAATAGAAATTTCCTGCTTACCATGAGGCCCTTCTTAAAAAGGGCCACTTTGGTCATAAGTTATGTAAGTACATATATGCTTTTAAAATATCTAATAATAAATATTTTACTTTGACTCAGAGACATGATCCAGATTGTTTAATAGAATCAGCAATTGAGCCTAACAATATGATCTTAAGATCAAACAGTTTACATACCATAAATGTTACAAGGCCTTGAAATGTACGTATGGAAGCATTCTAGGGATATGTGAGTTCAGGGACACCAACAGCATGAACTGTACCTTGTGAGTCCTTTTTAGGATGCTGGTGCTGAGTTGTTTCTGCAACACAAACCTGTCTGTATCAATTATCTGTTCCTGCATTACAAAACACCCAAAATGTAGTGGTTTAAAACAAAACCACCACATTAGCTTCCCTAAATGCTTTAGTTTGGGTCACATCCAGCTGGCTGGTTCTTCTATGTTTTTGGCTGGGATTACTCAAGCAAGTTTGTGCAGTTATGAGTCAGAGCAGGTAACCTCTCTGTGATAACTCATCCTCTTAGGCCTCTCTCTGTGGCTACTCTCTCTAATTGGATGGACAGGATCTTTTTACAACCTGACAACTGGATTCTAGAACAAACTAAATGTTGCAAGACCTGTGAAGTTTCCACTAGATCCTTTTGTTCAGTGCAAGTCACAAGACCAGATTTAAAGGAAGGGGAAGTTGACTCCACTCTTGGTAGGAAGAGCAAACAGAAGGTGCATACAGAAAAGATAGGGGTTCTTGGTCCTGATCTTCAGTGACTATCACATTGGTCATCTTCTTACACAGTTGAATGCCTCTATTCAAAGAAACTAAGAGATCAGTCTCTTATGCTGTTGCTGTTTTTCATAAATTCTAAGTCCAGAATTATAACAGTTTGATAGGAAACTTATGAAAATATTTTTAAATTGTAATATTAACAATTAATGATATTTTAAATCAACATTAAGGCACGTTTAAGCACTGCAGATGGTGACTGCAGCCATGAAATTAAAAGACACTTGCTCCTTGGAAGAAAACCTATAACCAACCTAAACAGCATATTAGAAAGCAGAGCCATTACTTTGTCAACAAAGGTCCATCTAGTCAAAGCTATGGTTTTTCCAGTACTCATGTATGGATGTGAGAGTTGGACTATAAAGAAAGCTGAGCACCAAAGAATTGATGCTTTTGAACTGTGGTGTTGGAGGAGACTCTTGAGAGTCCCTTGGACTGCAAGGAGATCCAACCAGTCCATCCTAAAGGAAATCAGTCCTGAATATTCATTGGAAGGACTGATGCTGAAGCTGAAACTCCAATACTTTGGCCACCTGATGAGAACTGACTCAATGGAAAAGACCCTGTTGCTGGGAAAGATTGAAGGCAGGAGGAGAAGGGGACGATAGAGGATGAGTTGGTTGGATGGCATCACTGATGTGATGGACATGAGTTTGAGTAGGCTCTCGGAGTTGGTGAAGGACAAGGAAGCCTGGCATGCTGCAATCCATAGGGTAGCAAAGAGTTGGACACAACTGAGCAACTGAACTCAACTGAACTGAAGCACGAAGGTGTGCAAAAACTGAGTGAGATGGAGAGCTTTGACTGGACAATTTCAGCACAAGGGGCAGAAGATTTCTCTAAAGAATGCCCCAATATCTTTGCATAGAATAAAGACAATTCAACTTTCATTTCAGAAGTGATTTGTGTTGTTTGGGAATGCAAGAACTTGACAGTACTGCTGTGATGCCCTGTACTTCCTGCTATAGAACAGTTATTTCATTTAGGCAGTTAACGGAGAGGTAAAAAGCTTTTCATAAGTCTCTTGAGTCTTAATTGCTTTCAGTTCAAAACTACCTATATGCCAAAGTAGCATATTTGGGGATGACATATTCTGTTACCTCTCAGTAGTTTACAGAATTCATATTCTTTCAGGATATTTTTCCTGTTACTTTTATAGTTGACATTTTCCATTGCAATATCTTTAAAATTTTAAATTTAGTTTATGTGAGTGTTAATTAAAATGATTTTTAATTTCTTCTTCTGCATTATTTACTGCTGATATGCTTTTGACTGACACAGTATGTTCATTTCAGATTTTTGGATTTTGGATTTGGATTTGGGGTCACTTATATAAAAAAGCATTCACGAAATAAGTCAGTGATATTCCTTGGGAAAAAAATCCAGCCTTAATTCCCTCCTCATGTTAATCTTTTAGCTTTTAGTGAAGCAGAGATTTCCCTCTGACAGACACAACATAATTGGTCCTGCTAAAGTGAGAATTGCATCTAGAAGGTCTATGTGGGTGAATTCTATAAACAAATGTCATTCCTACTGAAGTATCTTTGGTCTCTGGTTTTCTCAACCCATCTTTGGAACGGGATAGCACCATTCTGTGATAAAATTCCATTGAGTGGCACAAAAGTTGTTTATTGGGGTTGTTGAAATAACTCTGTGTGGGTGGTCTGCTTCAGAGCTTTTGAGGGTTGGAGCATTTCCAAATGTGTTTGTTCAGGGCATGGAAGTATCATCTACTGTAGCTGAAGTTAAGTTTCATAGGGTTGTATGAGACCAATGGTTAAGACACAGGGCATTGGAGACAAGTGGCATGAGTCCAACTCCTAGATCCGCTAGTTTACTAGCTGTTGGATTCTGGGCAGATTACCTTTAAGCTTCAGATTCCTCATCTTCCTCTAGGACTGGGAGGCCTCAGGTGGAAAAGTCTTTACAGTAAGTCCCCTACATATGAATGAGTTCCATTCCAAGAGCATGTTCCTTAAGTGCACTTTTTTGTAAGTCCAACAGAGATAGCCTAGGTACCCAGCTAGGCCATATAGTACTGTACAGTGATAGTTTTATACTTTTCATGCAAATAATACTTTAAAAAAACACTAAAAAATAAGGGAAACATATTTAATCTTACAGTACCTTGAAAAGTACAGTAGTACAGTACAATAGCTGGCATACAGCAGCTGGCATTGAGCAAACAGGCTAGAAGAGTACTGTCTGGTGGAGGGAGAGAAGGTGGGAGATGGTATTGTACTACTATTTTTTGTACAATACTATACAGTTGTTTGTTTTAAAAGAATAAGAACTAAATATGAATTTAGATATATCTTAGTGACTATATATTAATGTTCCTAAATAGTGGCTTCCCACATGGCTCAATGATAAAGAATCCACCTGCCAATGCAGGAGACATGGGTTCGATCCCTGGGTCAGAAAGATACCCTGGAGAAGGAAGTGGCAATCCACTCCAGTATTCTTGCATAGAAAATCCCATGGACAGAGGAGCCTGGCAGTCTACAGTCCATGGGGTTGCAGACAATTGGACATGACTTAGCAACTAGAAAACAACAACAACAAAAGTGCACAAAAGCCCAACCACTTGTAGAGGATGCACACACACGACCCTGTACACCAGACATGTGAACTAACTTACATGATTAGACATGCAAATGCATGTCACATCTTTGAAATTTCACAACTTGAAGGTTCATATGTAGGGGATCTTGTTGTTGTTCAGTCACTAAATCATATCCCACTCCTTGCAACCCCATGGACTGCAGCACACCAAGTTCCACTGTCCTTCATTTGCTATAATGGATAGCAATGGATGAGAACTAATAACTGCTGGGAACTGACAGCTCTTATTAAGATTTATGTGCCTTTTCCTCATCACCTTCATTGTTTTCTCTCTCGTCTACCTATTTCCATCTTTCCTACTCATCTTCAATGATAGGATTTTATAAAAATGCTCACTAGAAAATGTGCTTGTAGGACACAATATTTGTAAAGCATCTGAAAGTATTTTCCATAAAGACAGGGCTTATTTCCAACAAGCAACAATTTTCTCAGCAAATCTTCCTTTCTCCAAAGGTGATCGTTGTTCTGTACTTTCGTCTGTGGATAATGGGAGGATCTATGCCCCTCTTTTCAGAGCAGGATAATCCGGCTTCATTTTCGCCTTACATTCTTACAAGGTCAGTAGAAGTGAATTTTTTTTAACTTTACTTGGTATTTATCTGATTGTTTTAAGTAATCTTAAATAATACATTGGCTTTGCATTTTAAGGAAAGAAAGGCTGTGTTCTAGTCAGGTTGTATGGAAAAAAGAAAACACTGTTTAGACATTTGGAATTCTTTTCAATAAATGGTGCCATTTTGTCAATACTATTATAATTTTGTCATTATTATTGTTCTGATCTCGGTATATGTTTGTTTACTCAATAAACATTTTATGAGCACTTAATAATAAATATCTAGTGAGTGGCTCATAAGGCAAATATTATAGAACAATGCACTGAGAGGTATTTAGAGGTTAATTGACCATCATAACTATTTGTGAGATTGAAATCAGTGGGAAAGTTGAAAGTAACAAACAGAAATCAACAACAATTTTTGCCAAGATACAGTCAGTTATGTATAACCATTTGTCCTTAAGAGATTTAGGATAGTGGAGTAAGAAGTGATGATGATACATGTAAAAAAAAAAAAGATACACTATGGTTGTGATAAAAAAAAAAAAAAAAAAAGAAGTGATGATGACCAGTGGATTTTGTTCATCTAAATTCCTTATCCAACCTTCTGTGATGTACTTCTGAGGCTCTCAGTTATAATTATATTTGATAGTTTTCATAACTTTACTTCAGGAAAATATTGCTATAATATTTGTACATTAAGGTTACTACTCTTAAAATTTCATAGTTTTAAATACTTTTTAAATATCTAATAATTTTCAAATTAGTAACTTACCTTCTCTTTTTTGTGTTTGCAAAGACATAATAAATCTTAAACCTTGACTGATAGCACATATGTATTTTAGCTGGTTTGTATATCTTAGGTATAGAATATTGTTGGATTTTGTTTTTATAAAGCCATACAGTGATCTCTGTTTTACTTCACTTATTTAATTCACATGTTTTAATTGGTAAATTTCTAGTCTCTTTGCATTTTATGTTTTCCTTTTTTGTTCTTAGTGTTTTCTTCTTTTTAAAGAATATTTTCCTTTCAAAAAGGATACCTTCCAACTTGATTGACCCTTTTTTATAGTAAATATTGTGTCACAATTGTTTTCATTACTTGCTATATCTATTTGTATTAAAAAATCTTGAATCTCCTTTAGAAACCATATGGTATACAGCCTTGAGTGTTGACTTATCTCTTTGAGGTAATCTAGAGACTTATAAATTGTTGTTTATGTCTTATATTCTTCAAAAACGATTCAATTAGTCCATTTACTAAGCTTGACATCTCTAACCCAGATTTTTGTTAATATTTCAATCTACTTGTCCTTTTTAGGTTTCTCTCACCAGCTTTCAACCTCTCCAGGGTTCCTTGTCTGGGTATTTTTAGCTCATTGATAAATTGTTTCAGGTTCTGCAGCTCCTTCAGTAGCTATTTTCTGCCTTTAAGAGAAAAAAGCAACTTTGACAGATCCTGTTCTTGCTTATGGCTCCATTTCCCTTAGCCCTCTTTTGGTCTCCCTCCAAGCTTTCTTGTCTGATGAATTTAAGTGGTCATTCCTTATAGTTGGATATAGCCTATTCATCTGGAGATTGAGCATACCAGTCTCCAAAAGCCAAGCTTCATGAAGGAGATAGACAGACAAGAACTAGAACAGATTGCTCTCAACTCACCAACCAATCATTTCATTTGTAACTCTGTCATCAGCAAACACATGCCTGCCCCACAGTCCCTGGTGTCTGGACAAGGTGCCTTTGGTCTCCGGCTCACTTGTCCTCCTGCCTATACCATCTTAGCTGCCAGAGTAATCAGGTTGCATTTTTATTCCTGCCAGTGGTAAAAAAAAAAAAAAAAAAAATTCTTTGGTGGAACCTCTGGCAGAATTAGGATCTTGGGGGCCGTCATTTGCTAGATTCTGCCTTTCACTTCCAAGGTATTTACATATGTTTTCTGAGGCAGCTGATATACCTTCCATCCAGGACTTTCTGTCTGTGAATCCATCTGAGTTTATCTAAGTTTATCTCAATCATTCAGTTGTGTCCAACTCCTTGTGACCCCACAGACTATATCCTTCCAGTCTCCTCTGTTCTTGGAAGTTTTCAGGCAGGAATACTAGAGTGGGTTTCCATTTCCTCCTCCAGAGGATCTTCCCAGTGTCTCCTGCGTTAAAGGCAGATTCTTTCCGACTGAGCCACTGGGAAAGCCGAGTGACTCCTCAGGCAATTCAGTCAATACAAAGTGATAGAACAGAATGTCCTAACACCTTTATTTTATTTATTTTAAAAAGAACAAGCAAACACATATCTTTTAGTTCTTGTGTTTCATACTTAAAATACTCTTTCAATGATAGTTGCTATAAATGGCCTTTCACATTCCTCTAAGATAGCTGCATTATAACTGACTCTTTTGAGCATCCAGAAAATTGTCTTTAATACCTTTCCTGAGTAAAGTTTGTACACTGCTTGCATAATTGTTTGACTTCTAGTACAATGATGATTTTAAACTGGGTTAGCTTAATCTGTTTCCAGTTCTCTTTTTTTCCCCTCTTCTCATCAGCTGTACAATTTAGCTATGACTTGGCTGGCTTTGTGAGTCTGTCTTTACCAATTAGAGGATTGTCAGTCAGCTAAGTCTTGTTAATGCTTCACCTCTTTTAGTGGATTTGTAAACTGAATAACTTTTATAACATCTTTGCTTCCATCTTGCAAGGATGAAAGTGAAAAGTGAAAGTGAAGTCACTCAGTTGTGTCTGACTCTTTGTGACCCTAGGGACTGTAGCTCCCCAGACTCCTCTGTCCATGGAATTTTCCAGGCGAGCGTACTGGAATAGGTTGCCATTTCCTTCTCCAGGGGCTCTTTCCAACCCAGGGATTGAACTCGGGTAAGGAAGTTCCCCTGGAGAAGGGGATCTTAATAACTTTATTATCAGGTGAGAGTTTTCAAACTACTTTTCTCTTCCCTTAATAATTGTTGAAGTTAATGATTACAGATAGTTTTTAAAGTATCCTAAAAGCTTTTAAGGCTTGCTTGGTCAACTTTGTTTTTTGGTTTCTTTTAAGTGACTTCTTATGACTTAAGTTCTGAGATTCCTTCTCTTTTAGATGATCTATTCCCATGTGTTTAGCTAAGAGGAAACACCTGCCATTTTCTGCCTAACAAAACTGAGATTCAAAATTGTGGTATACCTCTTGGGAAAACTTTGTTAAGAAAAATTATCTAAGACTTGGAAAAACGAAGTGTGACTGTGACATTCACTGTGATGCAGAGCATTAGCTAACAAACCTAGAGGCATCCAACTTTGGTTGACTTGCTACTTACATTCACTGTATTTTACAACTCTATTCACTTAGAATTTTACGTATAGAAATCTGACAGGTGTGATTACTTCTTTTCTCTCTAGTAGAAAATAAAATTTCAAATGTTAGTTTTATTCTTTGCATCTAATTTGCCAATTTCATTACTTTTTCATGAACTGTGAAAACTTTTTGAAATTAACTTTATATAGATACATATATATTTATGTTTCTGGAGTTCAGTTCAGTCTGACTCAGTTCAGTTCAGTTTTCTCAGTCATGTCTGTGACTCCATGGACTGCAGCAGACCAGGCTTCTGTGTCCATCACCAACTCTTGGAGCTTGTTCAAACTCATGTCCATCGAATTGGTGATGCCATCCAACCATCTCATCCTCTGTTGTCTCCTTCTCCTCCTGCCTTCAGTCTTTCCCAGCATCAGGGTCTTTTACAATGAATCAGTTCTTCATATCAGGTAGCCAAAGTATTGGAGCTTCAGCTTCACCATAGGTCCTTCCAATGAATATTCAGGACTATATTTCTTATACAAACTCAGTTTATATCTGTATTTAATAATAGCTTTATTGAGATATCATTTACCTGCCATGTAATTAATCTATTTCCAATGTACAGTTTGGTCATTCTCAGTATACTCACAAAGTTTAGTGCAACCATCATCACAATCAAATTTAAAACATCTCCCTAGAAAGAAACCTCATATCCATTAGCAGCCACCTCCCATTTCAGTCCAGTCCCCCAACCCTAGGCAACCACTGATCTATTTTTATCTCTATAGAATTATCTCTGTAGAGTTACTTATTCTGGACATGAACCAGTGAAAATTATATGAAATGTGATCTTTCATGACAGACTTCTTTTACTTAGGAAAATGTGTTGATGATTCATCCTGTTATAGCATATATAGATAAGTATTTTTTTTTTATTCTACAGTAGTATGCCATTGCATGGATATATCACTTTTTATCATTCATCTGTTGATGGACATTTGGGTTGTTTTTACTTTTTAGCTGTTACATATAATGCTGCTATGAACATTCAGGTACAAGTTTTTGTTTGAATATAAGTTTTCGTTTCCCTTACATATGTAGCTAGGAATGTAATTGCCAGGTCATATATGTTAACACTGTATTTTACTTTTTGAAGTACTGTGAGACTGTTTACCAAAACAATCTCTACCAGTAGTATATGAACATTCTGGTTTCTCTACATCCTCTTCAACACTTGTCTTTTTGACAGTCTTTCTGTTGTTGATTTGATTATAGCCCTACAAGTGGTATGAAATGGCATCTTATTGTGGTTTTGATTTGCATTTCCCTAGTGAGAGTGACATAGACAACATTTATATGTGCATGTTAGCTGTTTGTATATCTTCTTTGGAGAAATGTCTATTCAGATCCTTTGACCAGTTTTTAGTAGGGTTATTTGTCTTTTTGTTATTGAGTTATAATAGTCTTTATGTATTCTAAATGTGATATTTATATAGTCTAGTTATATGATTTATAAACATTTTTTACCTTTCTGTGGGTTGTTGTATCACTTTCTTGATGCACAAAAGATTTTAACTTTTAAGCACACCCACACAAACAATGCTTTGAAGCACAAAAGATTTTAACTTTGATGAAATCCAATTTATCCACTTTTTGGTTATTGTTCCTTATGCTCTTGATGTTATATCTCAGATGGTTTTTGCCTAACTCAAATTCTTT